GGACCAACACATTTTGAAACCAAGTTTTCCATATTTTATGCTAAATCTTGTGAGAAAGATGTACAAGCTTTGGGCATATTCGGGATTACAGAATCTGAAATGTTCTGATCTCTGGGGTTTCTACAGCCAGCGACTCAGATACAGGACTGAAAATATCTTTGACATAACAGGTCTGGCCAATCTGGTAGAGGACACGGAACGTCTGCAAACAGACGGACAAGGTTGGCACACCACAGTCTTCGAGGCTATTCAGGAGCAATGGACTGGAATGATCTTGGCCTTGATCCTTTGAAGTAGAGAAGGTACAAATTTCAACATAGATTGTTTAGGGGAATATTCATTCCACAGCGCCACCAGTGCATCTGCTGTGTCCGCCATCGGGTCCCGCATCCTATAAACAAGCCTGTCATGCTACTTGATCCAAGACGCTGGTTAATCCACATCCAGTGTCCTCTATGCTGACATATACAGTGCATTCAGAAAGTATTCAGTCCCCTTCACTTTTTTCGATTTTGTTATATTGCAGCCTGATACTACATTTGTTTAATTTTTTTTTAATTCTCATTAATCTACACTCGGTGCCACATAATGTCAAAGTGAAAACAGAATTGTCTGTGAATTTATAAAATTTTTTTTGTAATTTTTGGATACTACTGCGCACACCTATGCGTCAGCTATGCAAGCTTCCTAAAGCTCCACAATAGCAGTTAAACACCTCCCCCTCCCCCCACACACACACACACACACACACACACACACCTCTCTTAATGGCAGCAGATCTTCATGCAGAGGTAAATTTTACTTGCAGGTTTTATCCATTGTTTGCCAAAGATTTTTGAAACAAAGTTCAAGGGGGTAGAAGAAAACTTGGCTTGGAGGGGGACAATTAATGCTTTGATGCAGAATAGGAAGGTATCCACCTTAATTTTGCTTACCTGGGGTAAGTGACTGCTTCCCCTGCCTCACTTTAATGATTTCCTCCAGTGAAGACACAAAACAACCATCTCCCACGTAGGCTAGTTGTAACAAAACCTTGCACTGCAGATCTGCACAGAAGAAAGGGATACTGGATACGTAACCTGGCTGACATCCAGCCCTGTGACAAACCTCAGCCAGATCCCTGCTTATCGATTTTAGATCAACCAAAGTCTGGGAAAAAGAGTGTGGTGGTGAGCATAGGTTAAGGAGCAGATCTCACCAAGGAGTGCGTGGCTTGAGAAACTGCTTCAAGGTCCTAAAAGCATGGAGCATTTAAGATGAGAGGTGGGTCAGTTACAGCAGTGCTCCCAAACCTTTTTATCGCCGCGGACCGGTCAACGTTTGATAATTTTACCGCGGCCCGCTGAGGGGGAATACCATTTGATCCACGGACTGGTACCGGGCCGCGGCCCGGGGGTTGGGGACCACTGAGTTACAGGAGTATACCAATTCATTACAAAATCCTTCCCAAAAAGATAAAGCAAAGTCTCGATTTAAAAAAAGGTTTTGAGGCTTCTTTTTATTTTGGTGAAACAAATGCTGACTGAAATTCAGCTGGTGCGTTCTCCTCTGTGGAAGGCATGGACTCTGCCTCCCAATGAGTCTTCTGGAGTATTTCTGGCAAAATCAGAAATATTTGGCGGCTGCCATCAGAATAAAAAAAAACAGCGGGGAATGAATACCTTGGCTGCTATTGGCCATTTCAAAATGCAATAGCAGGCTGGCTATTGCACCTCTCCACTGCTGCTGTCAATCAGCAAAAAAAAAAACCCAGCAGGGGATCCAGGAAACGTTTACTCTGCTAGATAGAGCATAGCAAATCTTTCTGGCATAAAATGTTTCTCTCACCCAGGCGTCAGGGAGCCGCTATCTTATAGCAGGAGACTCCCAGAACGTCAAGGAGAGTAGGGATGTCTGATATTGGTGTCACTGATGCTTCTGGTTCTTCCAGTCACAAGTGGCAGTTACATTAAGGTCCTCTGAGATGCTGCTATGGTGACCTGTGCTTGTTCATACTTTATGTACTTCACAGGTTGGCCACATGGGGAGCTCTCCTTTATTTCTGCTCAGGGTTACTAGAAAAAACTGTCCCTGTGTATTTCCCTTCTCTGTTGTACAGCAGCACATTGGTGACAATTATCTAGGTGCCTGGGGCGCACATTCTTACCTACCTCGATTTAAGCAACTTAGTGCATAGATTCAGCTCATGAATACATTGCACCTAATGTACGCTTCCCATAAACGCTATGCCAGGGATGGCCAAACTGCGGCCCTCCAGCTGTGATGGAACTACGAATCCCATGAGGCTTTGCAAGTCTCACAGCCATGACTCCCGGA